GGGAAGGAAGAGGTGGCTCACAGGAAGGTGAGAGCGGAGAGCTTGCTGATGTCTGTTGGCATGCTTCCCTTCAGCGACTGCATGTGAAAGTTCCTGGAAGGAGGGCCGCGGGATGAGGGAAGTACGTACGAGCGGGGAGGTGGGGGACGGGGCGACGGTTAGAGAGGCGTGTGTACTTCAGTAAAAAATGTTTTAGACGTACTTAGAAAATAGTGTACATTTCAAGTACAGAATTCCGACGGGGTTCAGGTAGGGTGAAACCTTAGTGGGGCTTATTTGTTATGGTTACCTCTTGAAATTGCCGAAGTGGGAAGGATGCAGCAACAGCAGCATCAACATCTGAGTCGTGTAGTCGTGATTAATTAGCATGAACTGCTGCGATTCGATTCCACCCCCCGTTACACTCACATCCAAGCGACGTTTCCCGACCCATCGCACGACACCGCATCCCAGTCATTGGCCTGCTTCGCCACTCCCAGTGGCGCGCAACTGGGCGACGCCGACGACTGCCACGACGTTAGCGTCACGCCCAGAACCGGCTTTATTGCGAGCAGCGTATTCACTGTACTAGCGGGCATAGGGGACAGCGCGTAGCGCGTCCGGGAGTGCTGGGAGCGTGAGCGTCGGCTAAGAACGAGAGAGGGAACAGATGAGAGCGTGAGCGTACGAGAGTGCTGGGAGATGGGAATACACGAGGTGTTAGGCAGCCAGGAAAGGGAGTCGAGGCATCGTGTAAGTGGGAATAGCAAGGGAGTCGAGTCGAGACAAAGGAAAGGACGATAGAACAAGACGACGACGACCGTGATACGGAGGGAGAAGGTCGGCACACGAAAGTTCTGTTTCCGTTGGCTTCTCGGTTACTCAAAAGACGCATACGACGGCGGGAAGAGGACGGCACGCGAGACGACAGGAAGCAGCGCACAAGCAAATAGGGAACGGCTCGGAATGATGTAACTGCTCGGCTTTTAAAACGTCTCAGAAGTGGTTACCTACGCGAGTGCTCCTAAGTGATATAACTATGAAGCACTGATTTTTTTCCATGGGTTATGATGACGTCTCGAATTCCAACGATGCCCAGCGCATGAAAGCGGAAATATATCGAATGCGGATATCATTCTCAAACACAGAAAATCAGACAATATTGTAAACGAGAATATACAAATAAAGTGGGCGGAAGGCCGAAAATCTTTCGGCAACAGTCAATCCAGTTCGAATCACACAAGGAACGCGCACTCAGCTTTTAAAAGGCGCTCCGAAAGATGACTCCGAGTCAACGGGGTCACTTTGAGCCTACATTCGACTCACACATGGATTGCGAGCTCACTATCGGCAGTCGTCATTGTAACAGCCACAGCGCGCGGCGGTTCTATACACGCCGCGATGAGAAGGAACGCGGAAGAGATCGCGACCGCGGATGATGGTGACGTGGAGACGTTTTTTACTAGTCGACTCAAAAAGAGGAGAAGGAACGCGAAGGAGATCGCGACCGCGGATGCTGGTGACGTGGACCTGCCAACGATGGCAGATGCTACGCGGTCTCGCATGTCGGCGTCTTCGGAGGCGACGCGTCAGAGTTTGCAGTTGCGTGTCTGCCTGCGTACGTTTACGTTTTCGTCTGCGTTAACGTCCACGTCTGCGTCAACGTCTACTGCGTCTGCGGCTGTGTCTGGGTCGCACGATCTCAATATCGGCGTAGTACGCCGATTTCTGGAGGAGCGTATTCACCAGCCGTTGGATGCATCGATCGGAGAAACCCTCGAACATGCTGTCTATCGCCGTCGCGTCCGGTATTTCTCGCCGGCTCGTCCGGTATCTATCGCCGTCGCGTCCGGTATCTATCGCCAGCACGTTGCTTGGGCTTTCATTTACCAATCACAAAAAGGAAAGACCTCTTCATCATGAACAAAATGCGTGTCTGCCTGTAGTTGAACACATTCACAACGCATCCCACGGGACATTCGCGGGCCCTTCACAACACAGCCACTTGACCACTACGTGTCTCCTCCCCCCCCCCCAGTACAGTCAACACAGAAGTGTGACCTCAGACTGCGGTCCCGTTCTCTCGAGCAATGACTAATTTTGGCCGCCAAGTTCGGTGGGCCTAACAGTCTCACTGGACATGCCCAACATCGTTCGCTGCCGGGAGAGAGTGTAAACACCTTTTGCATCGAATCACGGTCACTAGCACCCTATATTTTTATCAACCCTACTACGCGTAGATTTCGCATCTGGTGTTGCAACAAACGGCAAGACCTGTAAAGCCACCATCGCGACAAAACGCGAATAGTGGTTGCATGCGAAGTCTCTTCCGTGTCGGTTCTAGCTGGTAACCATAAATACCGCACACAACACATCTCGAACCAGCCCGACATATTTCGTCTACTTCAGGATGGCGGGGATATCGGTGACGGCTCGCTATTCCAAAGCAATATACGCACCAAAAGCCTTTTCATAACATTGGTGAGAAGCAAGTGTAAAAGGTCACACGAGCCGCACTTCAACAGTGTGTATTCTTCTGGACCATTGCCTGCTAAAGGACAGTAACAACACATGGTCTACTGGGCAACTATTCTGACGTTCCTGATACCGAAGGGTACGACATCGACACACTACACTAGCATGGTGTTGATTCATCAAGCCAGAATTTTCATGACAAAAAAATGACGGGAAACAGGTGTAAAACAAAGGATCCCTCTCAGTCTCTCTTTCCCATTTCTCTTTCCGACTAGGGTCATAACTCATTACTGAAGTAGGAGTTGGTATTATTGTGTACTGTTTTTATTTGCAACCCATGCGCTAAGGATCCCTCTCCCTCCTCCACCGTTATGTTCAATAACTGGAATAACTTCCATCAGGACAGAATGTTTCTGTAGTTGATGCATTAACAACCAGCAGAAAGCAATAATTAGAATGTGATGGAAGATCAAACTAAAGCTCAACACTTGCAGGCGATCAAATTTAGGACGCGGGCAATCGGAAGAGTTGGCTAAGGATTGCGTGTGAAAGCCAATCCTGCCATTAGGTTGGGCAATTGGTCGTCGTGATACGCCCCTAGTAGTGCCGTGTTGTTGAAAGATTCACCATGGTTCTAACTAACGGGATAAATGGAATCAACTGCAATGAAGAGCAGGCATTGACGGAATTGACTCACGAGTTTGTGGTGAATGAATCAAGACAACCAGGACAGCTCATTTAACCATATGAATCTCAAACAGGCCTGAACACAAGAAAAGACCGCATAACTTACACACAAGTCAAGGTAAGCAGAGGCGAGCTAGCAGCAGTGTTTGGGGTTTCCTGTGCTAGAGGGGCACTTGGATTGGGTGTACACACTTTTGTACCCCCACATAATGTCCCTGACCCACTAACCAACCCACAAATGTACACCCCGTACTCCTTTGAGTCGTGCCCGATGAACTGCAGGAGGAGGCATCTGAGAGGCAATTCTTGGAGGCATCGCAAAAGTTGTAAGGTAGCAATGGCACTGAGCCGGTAAAAAAGTTCTGGGTGAGTGCGAGTTTGGCAAGCGTGGTTGAGGTGGGTGCGGGGATGGAGCCTGTGAGGTAGTTGCAGCTGAGGGCTCTGTGTGGGGGAGAGAGAGTGGGAGGGGAAAGAGAGAAGGGGAAGAGAGAAGAGGAAGAGGAAGGGAAAGGGAGAGCGAGAGGAAGTTTTCGGTGAGTGCGAGTTTGTAGAGAGTGGTTGAGGTGGGTGCGGGGATGGAGACTGTGAGGTAATTGGATCGAGGGCTCTGAGTGGAGAGAGAAGTTGCAGGGAGGGGGGGAGAAGGAAAACGGAGAGGTAAAGAGAGAAGGGAAAAGGATCCAGAGAGGTAAAGGGTCTGCATGGGGAAGGAGGGTGAGGGGAAGCAGCTGGGAAGGTAGGGAGTGAGGAAGGGAGTGGGCAACAAATGAGAGAAAGAACCATGGAAAGGCACACAGAGGAAGTTACAGAGGTGTGTGGGAGTTAAATTCAAGTGAACCAGGCAACGTCCCGCGCATGGGGGAGGGACTCACTCACAGACTGGTGAGGGCGGGGAGGTTGAGCAGGTAGGCAGGAAGCGTGCCGTAGAACCAGTTGTATTGCAGGTCGCTGCAGGGTGGGGTGGCAGGATAGATGGGAGGGACAGCCAAATGGCAGGTAGCTGCAGGGTGAGGTGGCAGGTGGACGAGTTGGGGGGATGGGTGGGAGGCTGCAAGGCGCACAACCAGTACGTGCTTATAGACAAGAGAGAACCACACAGAAACAGGGTGCAGTACGAAACAGGGTGCAGTACAGAAACAGACAGGGTGCAGTACAGAAACAGACAGGGTGCAGTACAGAAACAAGCACTCACAGCAGCACGAGGATGCAGTGCGTCACAGCACGACAAGGGTGCAGCAGAGCACAGGCAGAGGAGCACTCACAGCACGACAAGGGTGCAGAGAGCAAGGCAGAGCACACACAGCAGCACGAGGTGCAGTGCCAGCAGCAGGAGGGCGGGTGGGTGGAGAAGGCGGTGATAAGAGTGAATTTTTTAGACGTCTTAAAAATTAACTTTTATCACGTGGTTGCCGACAAAGGTTCTGATACAGTGGAGGGCGAGTGGGTGGAGAGGGCGAGGGAAGGAGGCGAAAGTAGGAGGTGGGGAGGGGAGTGGGAGAAAGGCAAAGGAAGAACATATAGGCCGACTCTGAGGATTCTCAATAGTGAGTTTTTGAGTCGACTCAAAAACGGGAGAAAGGCAAAGGAAGAATATCTAGGTCACCTCTGAGGATTCTCAACAGAGATGTAAAAACAGCCGGCACAGGTGAGGGGCAGAGGCACTACTTGGGATCTAAGAAACCCCCACGATAAGGAGCAGAGAGGGAGACGAGGTGCATGGCATGGGATGGCATAGCATGGGACGGCATACCATGGGACGGCATAGCATAGGATGGCGTAGCATGGGACGGCATGGAACGGCGTGGCAGCAGCACATGAGATGAATGCATGCCATCCATGCCATGTGGGGGGGAACGTACAGGCGTGTGAGCGATGTGAGCGTGGTGACATCCGAGGCCATGGACCCCTTGAGCTTCTGGCTTGTTAAGTCACTGCCAGGCAGACGGGGCATGGAGATTGAGTGGAGAGCATGAAAGCATGGAAGTGAAGGTGCATGGATTTCCCGGGAGAGAAGCAAGGCAGCACGGAGGATGGGCCATGTGAGAGTGCTGCTGCTGGCATCTGATGCCATGGACGCCTTCAGCTTCTGGCTCGTCATGTCACTGGTCCGCGGGGAAGGGCGTGAGGGATAAAGGCACGGCAGCAGAGAGGGTGAGCGATGTGAGAGTGCTGATATTCAATACCATGGACCCCTTGAGCTTCTGATTCGCCATGTCACTGCTTGGAGGGGAGGGGCGTGAGGCATGGGGCATGGAGGGCATGGGGCATGGAGGGCATGAGTCGCTTTAGAGAATTCTCATAAGAGGGGCGTGAGGCATGGGGCGTGAGGCATGGGGCATGGAGGGCATGAGCGCACAGACAGGGAGAAAGATAGAATCGGGGATACGTTTCAAGAAGAAGGTATACGAATAGGTGGATGGGAGAGAAGGTACATGCATGGGTGGATGGGGCAGACGGTACATGCATGGGTGGATGGGGCAGACGGTACATGCATGGGTGGATGGGGGAGACGGTACATGCATGCTCTCTTAAGCATGTCCCTGAGCCAGCTGAGTCAACCAAGTCAAAGAAGTCAACCGAGCGAGACGACTGAGTCAAGCGAGTCAACCAAGTCAACTGACATGGAGAGGACGTTCCCGAGGGAGTCGCAGGCCACACCGGGCCAGTCAGAGCCCGAGGTGTATCCCTCCACCGTGCACGCCCCACTGCCCCATGCCGTGGCGGTCACCCCCAACGCGCTCTTGAGAGCAAGAAGGGCGTTCGCTGGAGGGGACAAAAGGAGGGAACAGAAAGAAGAAGGGGTAGCATAGAGATGGGGAGGGTGGGATTGCATTGGATGGGAGGGGGGGAATTACAGGGAATGGAAGGGAGGGATTACAGGGAATGGAAGGGAGGGATTACAGGGAATGGAAGGGAGGGATTACAGGGAATGGAAGGGAGGGATTACAGGGAATGGAAGGGAGGAATTACAGGGAATGGAAGGGAGGGATAACAGGGAATGATGTAAGCAAAGAAATGGGAGGTTGAGAGTGGAGAGCAGCAGAGCAAGGCAGGCGTTTCATCTCATGCATTTAATCCATCGCGTGTCTCTTTAGAAGGCGTTTCATCTCGCGCGCATTTATCTCTAATGCGTTTCATCTCACACTCACACATTTCAACTCTCGGCCGTCCTATCACTCTCACCTGTGGCATCTGTCATGGAAGTTTGTGTGTTTCCTGCTTGCGGCAGAATGAGGGCGCGGATGGGATAGGAGGGGTGTGGAAGAATGGGGGGAGGGAGTGAAAGGATTGAGATGGGGAGAGGATACCATTTGAGCATACGAGCATTTGACCACACACACACTCTCACCACATGCAATGCAGCACGTGCACCCGAACAATGCACATCTAGCACGACTTGAGCCGGTCCATTTGGCTCCGCCCGGATCCTAAGCACTGCCCATTCGAGCACCTCTGCTAACCACTGAGCTTGTTCCACAACCGTGGATGAAGCCATAATCCCACATGCCACCTTTGCCTCTGAACCATTTCTGAGGCGCCTCAAAAATTGCCTCTGAACCATTTCCAGGACTTAAGGCCGACTTCTATGCTCCTCCAACAACCCCTTAATTACGCTAGGCTTTCGGACCACAGGCACCTTCCATGGTACCATGCTATGATACCATGTTGTTAATGTCAGAATCCCAGCCACTAACCACTGGAATAAAAATGGCTTGTTAAGTAGCAAGTGAGCGTGTCCATAAACCTCCAAAACTAACGTGCATGTAGCCCTTCCCGAGGATCAATCTGGCATCCCCAATGAAGGTCTTCACACCCTTCTTCCGACTCCTTTCTACGTGTAGCGAGGGTGTTTTTGAGACGTCTCAAAAACACCCTCGCTACACGTACCCTCCTTTCTCTGGGATACCGTAGCACACGGCAGCAGCGGCAGTGACAGTGGCGCCAGCATGCGCGCACATGGGGACTTGAACCAGAGACGCCAGTTTTCCAACCGCTAAACACTGGGATAAAATGGCTTGTTAAATGGCGGGTGAGCGCGCCCATAACCTCCGAGACTAGCGTGCCTGTTGCTTTTTCCGAGGATCAATCTGGCATCCTCAGTGCAGGTCTTTCGACAATTATAACTCAGCCGCTAACCACTGAGTTGAGAAGCGCTTGTTTTAGTACGGGTAAGCGCGGCTATAACCCGTTGGCCATCCTTGCACGTACCCTTTTGCAGGACCTTAGGTCGATCCTAGTGCTCCTCCAACATAGACAGAGCACACATAGCATGCGCACCTGAGCACTGCATATCCAGCACGGCATGAGCCGGCCCGTTTGGCCCCGCCTGAACCACCGCTGGGGCCACAGACACACCAAGCAATCCCCATCAAAGCACCCGTTTCCTTCTGTCACCGTGCCCATCCCGCACACAGCACACCGCTCTGTTGCCGACGCCGCTGCCACCCCCACCACTGCCGCAGGGCGCTGGGTGGATCCAAAGCGAGCGCAGGGGGCGGCGGCAGCGGGGATAAGGCAGTTGTGTTCCGCAGCGCAGTGGGAGAGGGCGGAGGGGAGGGTGGGGAGGGAGCCGGAGAGGAAGTTGTAGGCGATGTCGAGGGCGCGGAGGGAGGAGGGGAGTGCGGGGAGCGAGCCGGTGAGGTAGTTGGCAAAGAGGGACCTATTGGGGGATGGTGGGGAACGGTGGGGAAGGAAAGGGGAGGTGTGAGAGGGAACAGGTCATGCCACGGGCCTTGAGGTAGTTGGTGGAAAGGGAAGGCTATGAGAATCGAAGCGGGATAGCAGGTGACATGACATGCGTGCCGTTGTTACTCACAGGCGACGTGAGCGACGTGCGACATGCGTGATGTGACTCGTCTTTGAATCTAACTGAAGAGCAAGCAGGATGGCATGCACGACGTGACTTGACTCACAGGCCGGTTAGTCCGGTGAGTTGAGAGATAGCAGCGGGGATTGAGCCATAGAACCAGTTGTAACCGAGAAGCCTGGAAGGAGGGTCAGGGTGAAGGGCCAAGGAGCATGGAGTCACTTTTGAGGATTCTAAAAAGATAGGGTGCTAACTAACACCAATGAGTGCTTCGCAACTGTGTGAAACAAAGAGCAGCGAGTTGTGGGAAACGGAAAGAGATATGCACAATTGCTCTGCAGCTCCTTTCAATGAACGACTGAGGGAAAGTGGGGGACGAGGAAGAGGAAGAAATGCAAGGAGAAGTTTCACACAATCAGTGCAAGAAACTAGGAAGGTTGTTAGTCTCAAGGGAATGCAGGCCCAACCACTTGAGCAAAGTGAGCGAGGAGAAGAGTTCGACGTGAAAGCTCTTTGAGAAATCCGTCGGAGAGTAGGAGAATTCGGGCATACAGCTGCTGGAGCAGAGAGAGCGAGAACACGTCGGAGAGAAATCCGTCCAGCTGCTGGTTGAAGAGGTTGGAGCTCAGGTCGCTGAGTGATGGGGAGGAGGCAGAGTGGGGTTGGAGAGTGGGGGGGAGAGGGGGAGGAAGGGAATGGAATTGACGTTGTTTGAGGCGCCAAAAAGAAGGAGAGAAATCCGTCCAGCTGCTGGTTGAAGAGGTTGGAGCTCAGGTCGCTGTGCATTGGGGGGTAATGGAAGAGGGGAGGGAGGAGAAAAAGAAAAGAAAGAAAGAAAGAAAAAGGTCGTTTCCTGAGGCGCCCCAGAAATAGTTGTGGCATGTGTTGTGGGAGGGGAAGAGATGGATGGATGGACGGACGGACGGACGGACGGACAGACGGCAGGGGAGGAGCGGGGATGCACACTGGGTGGTGACGAGCAAGGCTGTAAGCACATGGCTTTTTGAGACGTCTCAAAAGTAAACACATGGTGGTGACAGAAGTGGGGGAATGGGGAACAACTGACTTTTGAGGCGCCTCAAAAATCGTCTCAGTTCACGGGGATGCACATTGGGTGGTGACGAGCAAGGCTGTAAGCACATGGCCTTTTGAGACGTCTCAAAAGTAAACACATGGTGGTGACAGAAGTGGTGGGGATGGGGAACAACTGACTTGAAAAGCGGGTGGGAAGTGTGAAAGGGAAGATGAGCACTGATGGGACTGATGGGGAGTGGCGATGAGTGAAGATAAGCACTGATGGGACCGATGGGGAGTGGCGAGAGGATATGGCGAGAGGGAGTGGCAAGGCCGTACAGGGAGGTGAGCGCTTAGAGCGCTGACATGGAGGAGGTGAGCGATCAAAAGAGGTTTGTTTTGAGTCGACTCAAAGAGTGGCAAGGCCGTACAGTGAGGTGAGCGCTGAGAGCGCTGAGAGCGCTGACATGGAGGTGGGCAGCGATCCAGAGAGGCCCTGCGCGCGCAGAGCGCTATTGAGGGGGGAAATGGGGGGAGAGTTTGGGGGGTGGGGGAGTGGAGGGGGAAGGGGAGGGACGCAGGGGAGGGGGCACAACACAGCAAAGGGAGGACACGAGAAGGGAGGGGAGAGATGGCAGAGTGTAGTGATGAGTGAAGATGAAGAGGAGGAGATGCGGAGGACAATAGGAGAAGGCATTGAATGAAGGACAACAGAGGAACGGATGCTATAGCCCACTCACATGCATGCTACAGCCCACTAAAGCCCGCCCGCTACAGCTCATCACAGCCCGATACAGCTCATTACAGCCTGCTACAGCCCACTACAGCCCGTTACAGCCCACTACAGGTCATGACAGCCCACTCACATGCTTGTGACAGCGCCAGCGTCGGAGCATTTAACCCCAGCCCAGTAAGGAGAGGACTGGGAGGCTTCTCCCCCGTGCACTCCCCCGTGCCCGCCCACGTGCTGTCCGTCACTCCCAGGGATGACTTGAGCGCCAGCAGGATGGATGCTGCATGGGAGGTGGGGTGTGATGCGGAATGTTAGGGAATGAGATGAACTGTGCGCTGTGTTCTCTCGCTACCTCTCACTCTACCAGTCACTCTACCTCTCACTCTACCTGTCACTCTACCTCACACCCTTACCTCTCACTCTACCTCTCACTCTACCTCACACTCTACCTCACACCCTTCCTTACAAGATGCACTCCCAACATTGAAGGCACTCAACTTTGGAATACCAAAAGCTAACTCCAAAAGGATCTCGGAGAACTTTGGGGTGAGTCAGACTGACTCACCCTGAGCTGGAAGAACCTCGGCGAGTCGGCGACCTCTACAGACAGCATAGCACTCCCGCAGTTGGGAGCATTCAGCCCAGTCACATCAGGCATACAACCTTCCGCGTACCCCCTGCCCTGCACATGCCCCCTGCACTTCCAAGTACCCCCTGCACATGCCCGGGCCATGAATGGTGGCCTCCATCAGCCCCCCCCCCCCACATATGCCCATATCACAAATGGTGCCCCCCGTCTTCCCCCCGTTTCCCGAAACACACGGACAGTCAGACTCACCCTGAGCCGGGAGAATCGTGACAGCCTCGCAGTACCGTGGCAGCAGCACAGCGCTCCCCCGTTGGGAGTGCTCAGCCCCGTCGTATCCGGCGTGCAACCCTCCCCAACCCCCCCGCACATGCCCGTTGCCCAGGCCGCTCCCCCGCAGAACACACACTCGGCAGAGGCGCGTTGCGTGGAGAGGGGGCAGGCGGTAGGAGGGCTGGTGAAGCAGTTGGCGTTGCAGACGGTGGTTGCCACACCGGAGGGGAAGGATCCGGTGAGCAGATTCCTTTCCACGCTGAAGTATTTGAGAGAGGAGGGAGGTGTTGGGACTGTGCCCACGAGGTAGTTAGAGAAGAGACCTCTGGCGTGAGCAGGGGGGAAGAGAGGGGGAAGAGGGAAGAGGAGGGAAGAATCCGGTCATGAGATTCCTTTTGAGAATTCTCATGAGATTCCTTTCCACGCTGAAGTATTTGAGTGAGGAGGGAGGTGTTGGGACCGTGCCCACGAGGTAGTTAGAGAGAGAGGCCTCTGCGGTGGGGAGGGGAAAGAGGAGGGGAGGAGGTAGGGAAGAAAAGGGAGGAGGAGGGGATGAAGAGGGAGAGGGGAGAAGGGAGAGAGCTGATGGGAGGGATAGGGGAGGGGATGGGGGGTAGGGGATGAGGGGGAGAGGGGAGAAGGGGGAGTGGTGATGGGAGGGTTAGGGAAGGGGGATGAGGGGAGGGGGATGAGGGG